TGTGGTCTAGTCAGTTATAGCATGCAGCAAACCTACCTATTCCTAGGAGTACTGAGTAATGGTGGCACTCTGGAACAGTGCTGGTTCAATAGGTTGAACCTTCTTCCAGGATGCACAATTAGGGATCAAACCCATGGCTTCTCTACCCGACTCACCAAGCTATCCAGCCACCATGGAACTTTATACATGTGATAATGTCTGGTGCACTAATGAGCAATAAGTCCTTCGCTAATGGGCAGAACAAAAGTAAATAACAGTACCGTTAAAGGTGTGGCTCCTACGAGGTTGGTGAGAGAAAGTTAATTTCTAACTAAAAGCAAACTATTGCAGTGATGGGAAATTCATGGCTCTCAATATGATGTTGGACTCCAACTCCCAGTAGTTGACCTATCATATAAATGGTGAGAGGTGATACAGTCCAGTCTCTAGAGGGCCACATGCAGTGGTGTAGTGTGGCTGGCCAGCACCCAGCGCAAAGCAAGTATTGCAGGGTGTGGGTCACATGCTGGCTCTGTGATGCAGCACATGGGTGGTGTGGGGTGTGGGATGGGAAAAGCCCCTGGGGTGGTGCCATGAAGCAGTTGTGGAGCTGTTCGAGGTCTGTGCTGCTGCTGCTGGTGGGCCTGGTGCCCCAGTGGCTTGGACTTGAACCACCAGGAGGGGGAGGTAAAGGTAAAGGTTCCCCTTGACATTTAGTCAGTTGTGTCCAACTCTAGGCGGTGGTGCTCATCCCCATTTCCAAATCGTAGAGTCAGTGTTTGTCCGAATACAGTTTCCGTTGTCACGTGGCCAGCGCGGCTATACACAGAACGCTGTTTACCTTCCCACCGAGGGGGTACCTATTTATCTACTCGCATTTGCATGCTTTCGAACTGCTAGGTTGGTGAGGAGCTGGGACAGAGTGACGGGAGCTCACTCCGTCGCGTGGATTTGATCTTACGACTGCTGGTCTTCTGAACCTGCAGCACACAAAGGCTTCTGTGGTTTAGCCCGCAACGCCACCACGTCCCTCAGGAGGGGGAAGAAGAGTGCAAAAAGTGACTGGAGGAGCACACCGGGCGGGTCTTCCCCCCCAAAAAATTTTGCACCTGGGGCAAATGCCCCTGTGGCCCCCTGCACGCTGTGTCACTGACCACATGCTACTTATTTTTCATTTATTGCATAATTTCTAAACTTTGAGCCCGTTGAGGACAGAGGATGGTATCTTTGCATCCATCACTTGCCACAGTGTTAATATTAAATCAAATCTCAGTAGTAGTAGTGAAATGTGTGCTCTTTTTGCTCCTTTATCCCAGGGTATTTACTTAGGTGTCAGATTTTCTGTGCACAGAAAGCACTGGTTCTTAACCTTTGTTACTCAGATGTTTTTGGACTGCAACTCCCAGAAGCCTTCACCATCAGCTCTGCTGGCTGGGGTTTCTGGGAGTTGCAGTTCAAAAACACCTGAGTAACAAAGGTTAAGAACCACTGTTGTAGAGCACCCATTAATTTAAATGGGAGTTTAACTGCTTCTCAGAAAAGTGTTCCAGATATATGTGCTTGCATCAACAATGACGTATACACTCTGAATCATGAAAAGGCAGATAAGACTTTATAATGAAGCCAAGTAATTGATATCTTGAAAAAGTGGTGAGTTTGATATCAGAACGCTACTCCATTTCCATTTGCATCTTCTGACAAATGGTTGTGCTTCAGTGGTAAGCATCTGTTGAGAACTGAAGTAATTTTGCACTTAGAAAATGCTTTCCTTGTTTATATCATTCTAACCATTTGATTGGCTGCAAAAGCAGTCACGACTGACATTTCATGGTGTTTTAATGCCTGTTTAAATGCATGCTTTCAAAGATGTCCCCATTACAAAATCTAGACAATGGGCAACCACTGCCTCTTTCTTTCTCTACTTAGACAATGATTTGGGCAGCTTAGTGGAATGACAGGTCCAGGAGGCTTGTACATCTCTGAATAAAAGGGGCTTCTTTTGTCTAATTAAAAGCACTGAGTAATTACAAATGGTCCTGAATAAAATTTATTCAGCTGCTGTGGCTTGTGTGCCTGCACAGTGCTTGGCAGTGAGCAGCTCACTCTTGGAGCGGGCCTTGAATAGTCCTTGACATCCCAATTGGTCATGGGGTCATCTCCCACGAGTGGGAATTCCTGAACCTCTTGCTAGTCTTAGCCAGACAAATAGATGCCAAGCCAGTAGGATTCTGACAAAGTGAACATTAGCTGCTAGCATGGGCATTGGGTTTTCGCCCTCCTTTTAAAATTATTATTTTTGCTTCCACTCTCTCAAGAAGTCTCTTACAAAGAATCTGGCAAACCACCGGTTTTGTTCCTACCCTCCATTTCTTTCTCTCTGTATTGACAGGGTAGAGACAGAAAGGTTTGTCGTGTACTTTGGGTAAGTGCAGCAAGCTGTGTCTTTGTCTTCTGTGAATCAGCACTTTGTTTTGGAAGTGGTTGGTCTGGACAAGACTGTCTCCTTCAGTACTTCTTTCCTTCTGAAGCACCATGCCTCACAGACCCCCTCAGGCAATGCATGCTTCCTATTGCCGTTCTCATTGGGAGCATGGGCCAGTAGACTGAAAACGTTGCTTTATGTGGAGCTTATGAATAATAAAACCTTATGAATGCATGGCTCACTGCTTGATGTTTTAGGGCCGTAAAGAACAGTAGGCTAGTTGTTCGGATTTTATCGCTAGAGAGCCTGCCCTCCCACATGTGTTATAACTGAAGATTGGAATTAAAGTTTGACCAAATAAATTTACTACAGTTATTTTGAAATATATTGTGGGATTTTACTTCACTATCTAGGCAACATGCAACAACGCACAGATACTCAAACGTGCATTCTGCTGTGCCCTGTGGGACTTACTCTCTCATATTTGTAAAGAATTATGGTCTGATTAAAGGAAAATCCATGCATTAGTACTGCAGACTTTTAAAAGATATGACTAATGTGATCATATTATGTTTATTTGATAACAGAGACAGTTAATACAAATTAGCCATGATCTCGAGAGAACCATTTTTGTACCCTCAAGTGCATGTTAGGAGCCTGAAACGTTAATTAAAGTAGTTAAATATCACTTCAGGGACACAGAATTTGGCTAAGATTTACATTTAGTTCTGTAGGCTCAATCCCTAGCAGTTTTAAAGTTTCAAAGGCTTCATGCAGATTATGAGAGTTGATGAATTCATGCGTCTTTGCCAGGCTCCTCTAAAGAACAAGAAACACTCCGTTTTGAACTTTTAAGGGACAAATGCTATCTTGAATGAAGCTGGTGACCGTTTAGTTAACTGGTATTTTATATCAAGCATGGTTGTAAAATTTGTTAAATGTTAGAACATACTATTTTTTTCTGTTTGGCACTCCCCAATTCAAATTTAAAAGCAAAGTTTGCAGCACTGATGTATTACACTGTACAGTATTATGTTGTCTTTCTTTCTGTGAGCAGTGCATGTTTGTTTATTTCTAATCCAACCAATGTGCCACAATGTTCTTGTATGAAATATGGTGCAAGTGTTTGCTCATTTCTGTATTTTTTTGCATCATTTGTATGACACATTTTAATGTCCATTCACAAAGTGGTTATAAGTAGGAAAAACATGAGTACAAGAGACAGTAATCAAAATCCGTGCAGTAAAACTGCCAATAAATTCAAAACGTTGTCAATCTAAAACAGGTTTTATTGTCCTTAAATGGAACAATTTTTTCTGACTCCAAAAGGAATTCAGTGATGAGGCTAAGCATAGGTTTGTTCAGGACTCTGAATAATAAATAATAACACAGGGGCTGATGATTATGATTGGAAAGCCCCAATAGTTCATGCCTTACAAAAGGCTTTCATGCAGTTCATTCCAAACTAACAAAGGGATTGAAAATGCTTTGTGATTCCTTTTCTCAGGATAAATGTGGAAAATCAGATCTTAAAATCTGGATACACTACCCGTGAGTTGATCATTCTGGAAAACGATGACCCTGGTGGAGTGTTTGAGTTTGCTTCATCCTCCAGAGGACCCTACCGGATAAAAGTAAATACAAGACAGATGTGAATCATTTCCCTAGTGGCTTTTCATCATATAGGAACACTGAACCATTTCATTCCCCCCCACCCCTGTTTTAATAGGAAGGTGAATCTGTTGAACTCCAGATTGTTCGGTCCAGGGGAGCCCTTATCAAACAGTTTCTACATTACATTGTAGAACCAAGAGACAGCAATGAGTTCTATGGAAACACAGGGATTCTGGAATTTAAACCCGGTGAAAGAGAAATTAAAATTACTCTGTTGACAAGGATGGACGGAATTCCAGAGGTAAAGAAAGAGAGAAAAATAGCTATATAACTTGAAATATTAAATAATACATTTTTGACATTTAGTATACAATAGTCTTGATACCCTATACCTAGAAAACAATGGAAAAGGTCTCCATGAATCATAATTAACTTCACAGCATATAATTATTTATATAAACTCTCCTCCACTGTTTTGATGAATTTCTGGTAAGTTTTGTAAAACATATTAAGCAACATTCTGTTATTTGTGCCTGCTCATGTAACTCTAGTAGTGTACCTTTCAGTGGCAAATAGCTGTCAGTTAAGAAATCAACACTAGCTGGCTGGCTAGCTTACAAAACAGGGGCAAATGACCATGGAGCCAGGCTTTGGGAGTTAAATTCTCCACTATGCCTCCCAATAGAAGAATCCATCTGTGAGACTTCCGGAAAGCTAAATGGCCCCAGAGCACAAGCAGAAGACTGGACTGGTAACCCACTTATGAATATTTTATATGTATAAAACCCCAAGAAGGATTGCTGCATGTCAGAATCAACTTGATTGCATATAACTTATATTATTTAAGATGTTGCTGTTGCATAACTTGGTATACAACAAGAAAAACAAGAGCCAACTCCTTAACTGGTGGCAGTTTGCCACTGAAATGTATGATGTTATGTAATACGATTCTTGCCACTATTTTCTTTTGCTGGGGACTGAACATTTTGCCAGCTTCTTATGAAATACTCCTGCCTACTTTGTGTATTGGGGGGGATTTGCTATGTTCATCCTCCTGTTTTCTTCCCCTCCTTGATTGACTTAGAAAGGCACCCCCAAATCTGAAACTGCTACTCAAAGTTCATTCAAATTCATAAGTAGCTTTTTTTTAAAAAAGTATGTTTATATTAAAATAGAGTGTGTATCCTTAGAGCTAGAATTAAGAAGAAGGCCCTATTGTCTGTGAAAGTGGTTCCCAAAGGTGCTCTTGGACTGCAGTTCCCAGCTACGCTGGCCAGGGTTTCTGGGAGTTGCAGTTCAAGGACACCTGGATTACTCACAGTTGGGAACCAATGGTCTGAGGCATGGTCTTCTGGAAAATAATGGTGAATTTGTGTGTGGGTTTTTTTGCTATGGTTTTTGTCATTCACCTGTGTCAACTACAGAATTAGTAGGACATATCTACCGTGTTTCCCTGAAAATAAGACAGGGTCTTATATTAATTTTTGCTTCAAAAATGCATTAGGGCTTATTTTCAGGTGATTTTTTTCCATGTTCAACAATCTACATTTATTCAAATACAGTCTTCTGGTTGCTGCACAATGGTGGGAGACGGTGTTTCACTTAACTGGGGCTTATATTTGGGGTAGGACTTGCATTATAAGCATCCTGAAAAATCCTAATAGGGCTTATTTTCAGGATAGGTCTTATTTTCAGGGAAACAGGGTGATTTCTAGAACATATTCTGTTTTGTCATGGAATTGTTTCTGGCATTGCTTGATGCTATATATGTAGAATTTCCTTTCCTTTATAACTTTCATAATACGTTTTCATGGAAATTGTGCTGTCCTGGGATTGTGCCAGAAAAATTAAAAGCACAAACAGGCCATTAGCCAGTTTGACCTGGAAGAATTTGGCAATAACCACCCACCCACCCATATCAATCCTCAGTGCAGAATGACAAGTCATGTGTATTGCTGTATATACAACCCAGATTTTGATAATTTTAGTTTTTTTAAACAACAGCTCCTAAAATCCCACAGTTAGCTAGCTGTGGACTCTGGGAGTTGTTGACAAAAAAGTAGCATGTTCATGCTCTGCTATGACATTAAATGTTTAATATGACCAGATATGGAATTATTGTGAGCTAGAATGTAACATCATCGGTCATCAAAGTTACCAACATGAATTTGACCCAACTCCAGGAGGCAGTGGAAGACAGGAGGGCCTGGTGTGCTCTGATCCATGGGGTCACGAAGAGTCGGACACGACTTAATGACTAAATAACAACAACAAAAGAATGTGACAGATTATACTGTTGGTGTAATATTGGATGTATCACAAATGCTAGCCTTTGTGAAATGTGTGACAGCAGTACATGGTTGTGCATTTTTATTTTGCCTTACCTGGTTGATAACTTTGGATGTTTGACTGTTGCCAGTCTTGTCCATGTTGTTCTGATTTAGTTTCCCTGTTCTAGTTGGATGAATTTTACTCAGTGCTACTCAGTAGCCATGGCGACTCACCAAGTAAGCTGGGAAATGCTACCAGAGTCAACATAACAATTCTGAAAAATGATGACCCACATGGCATAATTCAGTTTCTTGAAGATGGACTGGTAGTAACAATCAATGAAAGTAAAGGGGAAGACATCCATGCTGGTAATTTCTTATCATTCTGTTATAATTTAGTTCCAACATTCCCTCTAAGCTGCACGCACACTCATGTGTGCAATGCTCAGTTGGGGCTGCACATTGGCAGCTGGTGTTGATTTCTGTTTAGTTCTGGTTTCAGATGAAAGCCCCCCCGCCTACACACACATGCATGACATTTGAGGGAGGACTGCTTCTAAATACATATTAAGCGTATTTAGAAATCAGCTTCTGCCCATTCTTATAACCTCTGAGTCTCCTGCACAGTGAGGCCAAAAATTAGAGGAAACATTGCTAGCTCATATCAAACTGTCATAATTTCTTAGTGTTTTTGCCTGCCAAGGCTCCTTCACTTGATAGCACAACAGCAAAGATTCTCTTCCTCTTGTGAATAAGTTAGAATTTCTGATCCTACACTGTTACTCCATTCCACAAATTTATGGGCTCAGTTTTCACCTCTTTTTTTCTTCATTACTTTCATGGTATGTGAAGAAGTGATGCTTACACCACAATTCTCCATTTGGAAATAATTATAGAGTTCTGTTTATTAAGTAACCAGTAGTGGAACAAATATTGCTACAAACAATGTGTCTTTGGATGAATACACATGAATTAGGATGTTCTGAGACAGCGACACTGATGCACATCATCCACAGCTATGTCACAGGCTTCTTTTTATGAAATATTTAGCTTCATTACCCTAGGTATTTTGTGATGCCATGGCAGCTAAGTGAATGGCGGCCAACCAACGTATTCAGGTAACATTTTTTTTCACTCGTGCAGCAAATGATTACTGCATGAGAAAGCTTTACTTGGATCACCACTTCATCTGTAATGAGGTAGCATGATCAAAGCACACAGTAGTTTCACATTGAAGCCTATCAGTAAGCGTCTATCGCAAAGTCATCTTCTGTCTGGAAAAATGATGATAAGAAATCAGAAATGATGAGAAGAAAACCTGATTTCTTTCCAGTATTTTCATTTTTTTATTTTCTTCAGAAGCAGTTGCAATAATATAATCTTGATTAAATTGTTTTTCAGGTAGCTTTTTTGTTTCCATATTTTCATGGTAAAAATTGTGCCTTTTAAATTATTTTTCTTTTTTGTAATCTGTGCCATTAATCCCTTAAAGCTGCACATTTACAAATCCATATCTCATGTTTCAAAGCTGTGTTCAGAATCGTAAGAAATCAAGGGACCTTTGGCGTTGTGAATGTTTCCTGGGCAACTTTTCCAGTTTCTACTAAAGACATCTTCCCAGAGCAAGGAACAGTTTTCTTTGGAAATGAGGAATTTTCCCAAAATATCACGATTTATTCAGTGCCTGATGAGGTAAATATTTCCACTAAAGTAACTTCTGATATTTATTTTCACAATGGTGACATCTACTTTTATAACACAGGGAAAGGTGCGTCATAGGAAAGCGTAGCAGCAAATAACAAGGAGTTTTCACATTTCAGTCTAGAAAAATGAGAGACAAATAAAATACTGAATCATGACTCCATAAGAATATTTCCCTCTGGCACATTAACTGAAGAATTTGAAATTTAGCATAAAGAGCAGCGGGAAATATTACTTTGTTTTTTTCAGTAGGTGTGAGGGAAAGCCTACACACCAGCAAACAATCTTGAGAACAATGTTCACAACTTCACTGAAGTCTTTCCTTATTTATTATATTTATATCCTACCTTTCCTTGAGTGAAATAAATCAAATAGAATCACACAGGAATTGTCCATTTAACAATAAGTGAAATAAAAGGCTATGTTTTTCTCTTCTTGCTAATGACTTGCTCTTAATGTAACCTTTGCTCAGTCTTGTAACTTGTATTTCTAGACATCCTTTTGGTAAAGTGATGGCTTTCTTTGGACGAAGATGAGGATAATAGGTTTTAGGGAAGTGATGTGAACTGAATCAGATATGTGTATTCAGCATTCTTCCACCAGCAGCCTCAAAAATTGATGATCAAAATGGGAACCTCAGTTGCAACATATATATTTCCTCAAAACTATTCAATCACAGTAGATTTTGGTGAAATCAGTTTATAAATCCAGCAATGATTTATCAAATATCACCTGACAAATATGTATGTGTGAAGGAGACCACTATGATTAGGATATATATATTCTGAAGGTTCTCAGTTGTCAGGTTGAATTTCCATGTGCTGATTCAAATGCATTCATTCATTCATTCATTCATTCATTCATTCATTCATTCATTCATTCATTC